TGGACCAATTATTTGTAGGCCATAAAAACAAGTCCGTGCTGTATTCGAACGCACGGCTCTCAGCACCTAATGGCACTTGTGTGTGGGGCGCCCCACACAATAGTTGAATGTTAGGTCCTGAGTCACCTGCATCCATCGACTATCTGTGTGTTTCATCAGGTTGTCTCCATCTAGTGCGGGCTCGCCCTACATTGCGCTTGACAGTACGAGGCTGCCACTCGAGAACCTTTCTTTAATAATCTACTCGTATATTAAATAAAAAGTAATATTCGATCGAAAAAAATCAAATGGTCGTTCATGCAAACCGTGTCACATTACGTTCACATGACAATGCTTTCACATGCTCGTAAGTTGCAACATCGCCCTTCGTACGGGAACAAAGTTTAGTTCTCAAGAGAAATACGGGTATTGTTTATCAATGCACTTTTTTAAAATTACGCCAGTGTAATTATTTCTAAATATTGGTTTCTTAAAACGGTTTTTTGTAGATATTTAAAAAAAAAATAACACGCTATTACGAAAATATTTAAATAAAGAATAAATGGGTTTTTATAGTGACGTTAAATTTAACCTTTTAGTATGGACGTGATATATTTTCAACACTAGTGCGGACGTGGAGTCTCTCAGGCTACTACATTCAAAAGCAACTTTTTTCTAGAAAACATTACCGCACATCGTCTTAGCCTTTCTATTCATAAATAGAGGTCTTTAATAAGAAAAACTAGTAATTTGTAATCAACTTTCTTTATTATAATCATAGAAATATGAAAAATTAACAATCATGGCACTTTTTAAGACTTTTGGTAGGGTTATCATTTTAACTCACTCAATTTTACTAAATCTAACAATAAAACAAAATAAAACCTATTTATCCTCTAACTTAATGAACAAACGAAAAAAAAAAACATAAAAGCTCTTTCTGACAAAGAAAAACAAAAATTCTGACAGCAGTCATAATATCTCTAAATTACTGGCAGTCAGCGCACAAAGGGCGAGAGCATTGTAGGCACACAGGCTTGCTGCACCCCACACAAACATAAATGGTCATTCTATGTTTTTTTGTGGGACATATTCTACATGCTCTTCTAGTTCCTTGACTGACGGGTGGTGTTTGGACATCTTCAGTTACCATATCTTTACCCAATATTCGAGCTATAGTTGACCTCAGCTCTCTCGGCAATTTTGTGTTTACAACACGTCTTTGCATATGCGGCACTACAAGGGAACGAGCCAATTCTTTTAGGAAATCTCCTCTTTCAACCTCTTTTGATTGATACATGTTGTAGAGAATGTATGCATTCATGCCACTTAGATCCAGCACTCGAAACAGTAACACCATTGTCCATCTCCGCGTACGGCGGCTACACGAGTAAATAGAACATTTTTCATCCGCTTCGTCAACTCCTCCTTTAGTAGAGTTGTAATAAAGTATTATTTCGGGTTTTATAGTATTTTGGTCTACTTGATCATCATGGTGCATGGAAGATATGAGTATTACAGCTCTATTTTTCTTAGGAACCCAAGAACATAACGTTTTTTGGTTCGTAAATCCAAATAAGGTAGATGCTACTTCTCGACGCTTATTTGGCTGAAATTCGATAGGTATCTCTCTTTTATTCTTTTTTACTGTCCCTACATACGTCAACTTTCGTTTTGCTAATTCATCTACGAGTTCAATAGATGAAAACCAATTATCAGCTGTGACGTTGCGGTTACTTCCTTGGATTGGTTTCGTTAGACGTAAGACGCACTGTGTGGGGACTAGGAATTTCTTTTCTTCTACTGTCAACCCAATACCATCGGAGTCTTTTCCAGAATATACATAGCCATTATAAAAATAAAAGTTCTTAGCGTCGCATAATGCTCGTATCACTAGACCATATTTACCTGGTTTTTTAGGCATGTATGATATTAGGTGACTTCTTCCACGAAACTGGACTAGCATTTCGTCCACAGTTACACATTCACTTAGTTCGTACAACTGTTGCGAATTACTTACGAACTTGTTGAAAATGGGGGATATAGCAGCTAACTTGTCAGTCTTTTTCTTCTCATCACGTTCATTAGGATCATCGAAACGAAGGCACAGTAACAATATAAGAAATCTGGTTTCCGACATTGTACACCTGAATATCTCACAGCCTGTACCATCTAATGCGAATAAGTAACTTGTGTCTTCGTGGTTCGACTTCAAAACAGCAGAATAAAATAGTAGACCAATAAACGCTTTCAGCTCAACTAAGTCCAAATCGTTCAGTTCAGGTCGATTGCTACGCGCGAACTTAGATTTGTAGATATAAATTTTTGCATTAGTCCAGGTCAAAATTTGATGGAGCATTTCATCGTCGAATAATTTGTTCCATATACTGAATGGATCTTTCTCACAGTCGGCTGACAAGTTCGAAGAAGATGTACGAACTGATATAATATTGTGTTGAGATATACGTACTCTTGTTGACGGTGGCGTCTTTGTCCACTTATAACGATTTTTCCCATAATAATAGTTCGTGCGTAATTCAGAAAGTGGCGCGTCTGAATTGTCACTATCGACTGCATCTTCAAGGTCGTTGACCTCTTCACCTGAATCACTATCATGACAGTTTGTCGGGTCCGCCTCAGATACCAAGCAATTTTCAATATCTACCTCATCGTCTGACTGATCCAAAGCCAACAATAAAGAAGTTATTTCGTCTTCGAAAGATGGATCATCTAGTCGCATTTTTTTTCTCTGAGGTTGTTTTGCACTAGAACAACTCGCTTTAATATTTTCAGCCATTTTACATAACAAAATCTAAAACATACAGAGAAAATTGATCATAATATTTTACATGGCAACAGTGGACGTGGAGCCTGACAGGCTCCAGCCAATATTTCGATGAATATTACTCACGTGTTCTGCATCCAGCGACGTAACCTCCGCCCGCACTGTGTAGTTTGGAACTAAACGTAAAGCTACTGAGACGCTCGGGTGCATGGAGCGGGGGGAAGGGGGTCAAACCAAAAACTGGCGAATCGTGCGGAGCCTGTGAGACTCCACGTCCATACTTAAAGGTTAAGATGTCTTTGGCATTATTTTCAAAAATTATCAAATGATTTTATTGTTTAACGACGCTCCAATTCCCCAAATCTTATTATTACAGTTGGATATGGTTTTCGGTTACATGTATTAACTGTTATTTTGTGAGATTCTATAGCCCAAACGGCCCGATTTTAAAGTGTGAGATGAGATTTAAATATATAGGTATACTAACTTAAATGTCTTTGTATACTAAATTATCCCCGGATTGTTAGATGAAATAAAAATACAGCCAAACTTTACAGTGGGAACATGTACTTCATTCAGAGAAGGTTATGGTGCGATAAGTTCGCCACGCTGTTTCAGGGCATTGGACTTCACATGTCTTCAAAATAGTTTTATTTCTAAGACAAGCTGGTTTCCTCACGACGTTTTAAAAATTGCAGTAAATCATTTTAATAACGTCGGCGGTTGTCAATTTCGAGTTGATCATAATAAGTGATTAAAAAGTCTACATAAAAAGGTTTTTTACAATATTAATGAATTCATGCTTAATAATAACTCCTGGGAATTATAAAAACAATTCTCCTCTACTCTATTCTTTGCTATAGTAAATCGTTCTCAGGATTTTTTTTCAAGAATCTTAGATCGTAATAAATATTTTTAAGAACTACTTCCTCGTTTACCTTAAAGCAAAATACCGAAAAAAAATGTATCAAACACAAATTAAAGTAACAGCCTGAATACATTCTCCTCCCATCTCTTTGAATGTTATGGAAATTAGTCCACCGTGATGCCCCACTACGTGTAGGCAGACTTCATATAATAAACTCGAAATATGTTAATCCTTAGACAGGCTAATGTTTACCTTCATGGGCGAGCACGTAGTTAATACGCTCATAAAATTGCAATTAATTTTTTAAATGGTGCTGGCGGAGATCGAAACCAGTTCGCGTGTAAATTTCCACATATCAATGAAAATGAAACTTCCAGACGCCAATATTGGTAATTGAGACAAATTATCTTTATAACGGAAAAGAAAGAAAAGATTAAGCAGTAGACTTTTAGCGGCAAAAGTAGAAGAATGTAGAAATAAATATTAAGTAAGCTTGATAAAGGTTTAAAACATTCAGGTTGAAACGTAAATACGAACAAAGTATTTATCTTCTAACTATAGTTCAAAGGAAAGAAATTAATTCTATAGTACATTAACATGCCATAGACATAATTGGATAATTATTTATATGACGCATTGTGGAATATCCCTAAGTGGCTAGACGAGTTGGCCGTATTAGGACGGCTTTGTTTACAATCAGTATTTTCTTCATTTAGACTATTATGTATCTCCATACTGGTGTAGTCAGGGATAATAAAATTTTTACATATTCTTTTTTATATAGGATAGGGTGACAAACGAGCACACAGTCCAGCTGATGGTAAGTGGTCGCTGTGGCCCATAGACATCTACATTTATCCTCGTTTGCGTATCAATATGCAGATGCGTTGTCACCCGTGAGGACTAAGATGGAATGCCTCTTTTCCAATAAAAAGGGTCTCCGGTTCTCTACACTCACCATACGAAACACAGTAGTGTTAAGCTGCTATTTTACGCTGGCATTCTGTGAGAGCGTGGTCCTTCCCCGGTCGAGCCGACCCATTAGTGCTACAACTATACTACTAATATAGCTGCAGCATGGCTCTATCACGTGCAAATATATACCTACATACTTTGTTAAATGCCAAAAGCAACGGGAAAATAGAACGCATTATATTCTAGATAACGTGTTAAGAAACTTCTATCTATTTTAATATTTTTCTGTTTTTTAATTTATATTTTAAAAAGTTAGATTTTTAGAAGCGCATGTGAATTTTTAAATAATTTTTATTTTAAAATCCTTAGCTAAATAAATTTTAAGCTAATAATAATAAAACAGAAATATAAGATTTAATATAAATTCTTAGCCTAAATAAAGACAAAACTTACCGTTCATCTTTGAAATTTTTAATCACAAATTTACACAAAAATGGCACTGCGGTTATTAATTCAGTGTAAATATTACACTAGAAGTTGGCACAATTTCTTATCACAGGCGTGCAGTCAATACGATATATTAAAGTTCTACGAACGTAACGAGCAGTACTATGGATGGTCAGTGCTAGTCGGGTGTACGCGATATAATCTCAATACGAAATGTGGACGCGCACCGCGTGGTCTCTGTAATAAACAATCTCACTTTGAGACACGATAAAGCTGTGGACCTGAGATGACGATTCTCACGTACTAAAACCTCTGATACTCGATACAATGGTACGTCACTGATTTTGTAATTTTTTATCCGATTTATCGCTGTCGGGCTCTGTTTATTAACTTCGATTAAAAGTTGATGAAATGTTTCGGGTAGGCATATTATTTTTTTGTTTTTAATTACGTAGTTGATTTTTAAAGAAAAAAATAATTTTATCATTAGAGGAGAGAGGCAGAACCCTTGTGGGGGGGGGGGGACGTGCGTAGACAATTTGGCAGCCTCTCATCTCAGGGGTATTTTATTAAAAGGCAGTGTAACATTGGAGGCGACTGAACTGACTAAATTGCGCAAATATGAGTATTTGAGAGATGATTATATCTGTGCCATTTGCTGTAGAGATTATTGACGTGTGACTTCCACGCGTAGTTAAGTTTCTAAAGGAATTGAATCGGTGACTGGTTCAAGATAAAAAGAACAAGACAAGACGGCTGGTTCTTTAATCGCGAATAGTCTAAGAAACCATTTGGCGAGTGAATGCAGCCAGCGTGATTTTTGCACAATACCGCGGGAGTATTACTGTTTGATATTGCTTTTAATTTTATTAGTTAAAAACTGTATAGTCATATTTTATATTAGTAGGTTTTTATTGTAATATTAACGATTTTGTTTTAATAAAATATATACAGTTTTAATAAAAGAGATACATACCTTTTGATCTCTTTTATTAAAACTGTATATACAAAGGTTCGTGAGTATAAATGCCGATGATCTCATTTTATATTCAGAGCCACTCCGTATTGTACTACAGCCGCAGTACAAACGCGTCGATCCGAACGGGGAAAGACTATGCTTTCACAGCACATCAATGTAAAATTGCAGCATAATGCTGCTGCGTGTCTTATGGTGAGTGAATATAACCGTAAACCCTTTTTTATATCTAATTAGACCAACTTAGTACTCAAGGGTGTCAGAAGATGTAATCTATACAAATAAATAAAATTGAAGTGTCTGTTTGTAATGTCAAAATTACAGTTTTTTACTAAATGCATATGAAAGTAAATACGGTACCTATAACTAAAATACAATTTTTAAAATTTTTGTCTGTCTGTCTGTCTGTCTGTCTGTCTGTTTGTTCCGGGTAATCTCCGAAACGGCTGAACCGATTTTGACGGGATTTTCACTGGCAGATAGCTGATTTCATAAGGAGTAACTTAGGCTACTTTTATTTTAGAAAAAGAATTAGGGTTCCGCGCAAAAACATAAAAACCCTAACACGCGAACGAAGTCGCGGGGAACAGCTAGTATAGAATATAAAATAACGTTCTCATCACCGGATTTCGGGAGATTTTTGATCTTAGCTTGATATTATGTAGGAAGTTGATCTTATGCACGATGAATCCAGCTTGTAGGTATTCTATACAATCTGCATTTATTGACTGGATTTTAATATTCTCTATCTCACCGAAATTCGATATAATTTCGATCACGGCGAGCAGTTCCTATAGACTGGTTTATGGTGCACGAGTATGTGTGCAAACACAGATGCACTCTCTATTCTCTCATTCTAATAGTCCGATGGGACGACAACGAGTTCCAACGCTTTATTTGATCGTTCCTATTGCAATATGTCAATGCTTCGGCGCTCATTGCGAACAAGGCAAAGTAGCTTATGAACCAACCCGCACACAGTCTAGCGATTTCTCGCAAGAAGCGGTTTCTCATATCTCCCAAAAATCAAAGATTTGATGAGCGGTTTGACATTTACGGAGCCAGAATTTTACTATCATAAAAATTACTTTTTTCATCATGCTCTCTAAATTGATGGTTGAATATAGGCATACTTAAATAAAACAAATGCCTCAATCGTCAAGCACCTTCTAATTACTCGTGTCCTCTTATAGACTCTTTTCTTCCTCTAATTAGAGCTGTGGTAGCTCAGATAAGCTAAGCGCACGCTATAAATATTACGGTACACGAAATACCAGGATTCGACCAATGAGTATGTTGCAATAATTTTATGTGACCGTGTAGCGGCGGTGTTGACTGTGTAGCGGCGGTGTAAGAAAATCTACTACCCTATATCGTCCCGTGTGTATCGTAAGAGGTGACATAGGGAAATTGAGAGAGTGGATGTGCAGCAGCATCTTCCTGATAACGACTCAAAATAATAAAAAAAACTGCGTTTGATAACCCGCTCGCCAAGCGTGTCAACTTTCGCAAAAAACCCCCGAATGAGGCAATCTATGGGGGAGGCCTATGTTCAACAGTGAACTCTTATAGACTGTGATAGATGGATGGATGTGCTGAATTTTAAGTGCTGATATAACATAAACATCGAGATCTCTGTCAATAAATAAAATACAAAATCCAAGGACACGTGAAATCCGCCAATACGTATTGGAGCAGTACGGTGGACTTATTGCTATATAAAGCTCTCTCGAATGAGTGGCGATATGTGTCCAGCAGCTTTGGAAGTATTAAAGACAATTTTACATTCAATTTTACTTTTATCCTCTTATTAACAGTGGCACTTCCAGTGGAATTAATGTTCCATTTTTAGAACGTTTATACAGCCTTTGTTGATCACAAAAGCCCCATCCATTTTTATATTGTTGCAAAATAAAAATAACCAGCTTTTGCCCGTGGTTTTAATTTTGGTCAAACAATTTTAATTAGCCGAATCTTCGGTGATTGGTGCCGACAAATGCAATTTTAAATGCTAACGCTGGCTTACGTTGAAGGAAAACCATCGTAACGATGTATGCTTAAAACTTTATTAAAAATTCGTAATAAAAATTAAAAAGGTAAAAGGCAAACTAACAGCTTGTTCGTTCGAATTTTCCTTTTTTATAGAATATGGGTAACAAACGAGCATAGAATTCAACGCATGGTAAGTGGATGCTGTGCCATCTATATATTATCTTCAATAAAAAATCAAAATGCAGATGCGTTGTCAAACTTGGAAAAAAGGACTAAGATGGAATGAGGACCTCGTTTCCAGTAAATATCATTTTATTCAACTTAATAAAAACAAAAATAAAAATTTGTTTTTATTAGCATCACCGCCACAACATTCTTTGTAGTGTCACCTTCAACCGTGCTATAAGTATTTCTAAATTCATATTTAAGTTTTATGCACAATATGGAGATTGGAAACATGATTTAAACCAAATATATCTTAGGACAATTAATAGAATCAGGCGTTACTTTGTGGAAATTCATTATATTAAAGGTGTCAAACATTAATTGCCCAGTTACGCGCAATAATAAAAATTTATAAACATAGATATTTCCCGTAGATTTAATTTATTTAAAAATGTAATAACCTAACAATTAACATACATTTGCAATAAAAACATAAATTTAAATTTGTTTCTAACTTTGTAGTTAAATAATAATAAATAATATCTAGGGCTTCATCACCGCTGACTACCAGATAGGATTGTAGAACTACTATACCTACTAGATAGATAGATATTTGGCAATTCGTGGATAGATAGGATATTAATCATATCACTTGCGGAAGTGTAACAAAATATTATTTGTTGAAAGACTTTCAACTCTGTTACCATTACCATTATAGCCTATTAAAGTCCAGTGGTGAACATAGGTCTCCCCAATAGATTAGCTGATAGAGGTTTGCCATAGTGGCTACGCTTGGCAACCGGGTTGGCAATCGTAATTTTTTTTATTTTTAGTCATTACTAGGGAGATTTGGAAGCGACACGTCTATGTTACGTCGAAGTTCTGCGCCAAAACCGAATCTACTTAAATACGAATTTAAAGCGTTGAATAACCTACGCAATAAACCATAAACACGATTCTCCGCAAAGATAAGGAAAATGCCACGGTAGTCATAGATACATCGGATTATAATTCTAAAACACAAGAACTTTTGTCGGATGCAAGTACTTATAAAAAGGTTAAAAACGACCCAATAAATAACACACTTAAAACAACTTGTGACCTCATAAAGAAACACCCCGAAAAATTAAATCTAGTCGTAAAATCGATAATACCTACGTGCGCCAAATCACCGTAGTTGTATAGGATACCAAAAATACACAAGCCCAACGCTTTACTATAGGACGTAGACAGCATCTGGCTACCTATTGTGAAAGGAAGAGTTCTACAACCAAGTAGATGGAGTGGTGATGGGCTCACCTGTATCTCTCATTGTCGCAGATAAATTCATGGAAGAATTTGAGGAGGAAGCCCTGCTTACTTCTCCCATAAACCCAAGATTCTACAAGCGGTATGTAGACGACACTTTCACAATTATTCCTTTAGATAAAGTAGCTGCATTTTTAGACCATCTTAACCCCATAAATTCTAATTCTATTTCTTAATCTAATTCTTTAGCTTTCTTAGATGTGTTAGTAATTCGGAATCCTGATAACACCTTGAGCTACACTGTGCATAGAAAAAAGACCCATACAGAGAGATATTTAAAAGGTGATTTTCATCACCGTCCTCTACAGTTAGCTACCGTGGGTAAATCTTTGTTTCAGAGAGCACGAGGGATTTGTGACAGTAAGCACCTGGCCGCCGAGCTCCAACATGTCAAGCAGGTTTTGCACGACAATAAGCTTCGGGTCCCGCGTCTACGTCACAGTAAACGAGTGAAGCCGGCCACAGTCGAGCGAGTACCTGCTGTACTACCTTATGTCAGAGGTGTCACTGACAAGATTGGCTACATCTTGAAGCGTGCTTCCATTAACACATACTTCAAGCCGCCGAAGAAGATTAGTAAGTTTTTACTATCAGTCAAGTGTAATGTCCCTCTGCAAGATGCAGGAGTGTACAAGCTTGATTGTGAATGTGATCTCTCTTATATAGGACAAACTAAAAGATCTATAAAAACCCGCGTTAAAGAACATATAGCGGATGTGAAGAATCGACGCTTCGGGAAGTCTGTAGTCTATGAACACGTACAGGGTCGCCCCCGTCACTACATTAGATTTGATAGACCACAAATCCTCGCTAAAGAACACCAATTCCTTCCAAGGATGATTCACGAGGCTATTGAAATCAAAAAAACCGGCCAAGTACGAGTCGGACTCGCGCTCTGAGGGTTCCGCACAAATCCGTAGTTTAAAATTATTAAAAATATTTTTATTATATGATGTAACTTAAAATTTATGCTTTTCGCAATTTTTTCTTTATCTGTGTTACAAAACGTTGCTTCGTACCAAATTTTAAGATTCTGAGTTCACGGGAAGTACCCTGTAGGTTTTGATTCCCTGATTCCCTTGCGAACATCGAAAATTTTCGGCATAAACGGCTCTATCTTTTGATTGCGTTGTTTAATGTTAAATGTTAATGTTTAATGTTTTCACAGCTCCAAGGGACAGTAGACTTGAGTATTTGATATGAATTTCAGCTTGATACCTCTCCATGCGTTCCTGAGAAAAAGGG